CGATCAAGTAAATAAAGCTGTGCAGGACCGGTGACTGCTGTGGTGGTATTTACAGCTGGAGGTAAAGTCAGACCCTGTTCCTAGCTTCCTGGGATTCAACGTGGTGTGTGTCTTTGTGTATGTGTGCCTGTGTGCATGTGTGTGTGTATCTGTGTGTGTCTGTGTGCATGTGTGTATGTGTTCATGTATAAGCAGGTGCTCACCTAGAGACTAGAGGACAACCTTAGGTGTCATCCTCAGGAAGGCTAGCCACCTCCTTGAAACAGAGTCTCTCGGAGGGGCCCAGAGGATAAGTGGCCATGTTGAAAGGGAGGCTCAGAGGAGCTAGGGACTTGCCAGGGTCTGTGGGATGAGAATCCAGTCCTGATTTCAAATCCCACAAACGGGGAAGGAAAAGCCTTCCATGGCCACCCACTGGTATTAAGAATAAGCCAATCATAAGAAAGGGTATCTCTGAACTTGCAGATGAACTACCACCCCCTAAATAGATGACCACCCCAGGTCAAGCCTCTCCAGAGACACCTATGATAGGCAGATTTTAAAGTGTGTGTGTGTGGAAGGGTGTTCCCCAGGGGGATCCAGCTGTGCCCCAAGGCTCAATGTAGCCTCGATTGCAGCTTGCTCAGTGCCCCGTCTGTACAACATTCTGTAGCTGTCCCGCCTGGAACATCTCAGCCACCCTTCCTCAGAGCATCCTCAGCATCACCCCCCGGTGCAGCAGTCACAGTGGCCAGAGGGTCAGCAGCTGTCTGAGCCTTGTGGGGATCAGAAGGAAAGAAGCAACTTTCTTCCCTCTGGAAGACAGGCTGTCAAGCAGATGGGCTGGCGTTGATCACAAAGCAGGTTATAATGGTCCCGGTCACACTCACTAGCTATCCGGGGCTACTTGTACACTTCCACCTCCTGAGACAGCCATTGGTGGAAAACATGGCAGACTCTTGGCTTCCGAAGTTGCTAGGGGTCATGGAAAAAGAGCCTCAAGGTGCTGGGAATTCTAGGCCTCAACTTGGCTCGCTCCATTCCTCTCAGGTCAGACCTTACATCCTAGTATAAGACATAGTGCCAGGAGCTTCTCTGTTCCTGACCCCAGCTTCCCACAGTGAACCAGTTCCATCTGGATCAGTGACCCTGACACATCAGAAACGTGGCCCAGAGGCATCACAGAGGTTGAAACCAGGGCTGAACTGGGGCAAGTGCTGCTATTCCACGACACACCAGATGGCAGATGCCCAGGCCCTCCGAGTTTCTTCCCTTCTCTGCCACACTCAAGCATTTCCAATGCCACCTACATGGTGACCTTGGCTTGCCTTGGGCTCAGAGGCTTCCAGGAGGCCATCTGATGACAAGGGAAAGGGGGCAGACACTACAGATGCTCCGAGTTGCAATTAGCATTTTCAGACTGGCCCACCAGACTTAGAGAGATCATATCCACACGGCCTACAAGCTACAAACCCAGAATGAGCAATAAAAACCCTCCATGGAATCACATTTTATGTCACACAAAGAATAGAACAGGCCAGCTCCCACCAGCCAGGAACTTGAGGAGAACTATCTAAACCATTCTGAGTGCACAAGGGCCAAGCCTTCTTACCCAAACTGACCCATTTGCCTCCCAAGAGGAGGACCTGCCTGTCAGTCACTAAGAGGCAGTGACATCTAGGGTCACATCAAGAGTTCTCACCAGGGAGTCCCACCAAGGTCTTTGTTTGATAACTAAGGTATCAGTACAGGGTGCACAACACCACCTTCTCACACTGCCACATGGTGTCATCTACGAATGCTTGAGAACCCACCATTGAGTTACCAAATATACATGTATAAATACATATAAAGATATATATCATGATGTTTTCACTAAGTTTGAGATTGCGGCAGGTTACCAGCCTTGCTGAGTTTTCACGTCCCTGCTTGTCAAGGATGAAGGCAAATCCAGTCACCTCCTTGGTTGAGTGGACAGTACAGGAGACGGCTGCAGAGCCTGGCCCGAGACCCTTTCTCATCAGGCTGCCCAGCCTGCCATACTCCCTGCTGTCCACAAATCCAACACAAGGTCAGGCGGCTGTGGCTGTCCCACTCACTTAAAGCCAGGGTAGGAATGCCCTTTCTCTTGGTGAGACCTCCTCAGAGACCCGTGCTGGTGGACCCGCTCCTGGGTTTACAGTTTCGCCTCTGGGGCAGGGCACACAGCAACCATGGGACCATTCAGGAATACTGCTCCTATATGGCGACCGCCTTTATCCAGACCTCTGCTGGCCCCTAGGACCAGCATCCCAGCTTGACCTTCCACCTTTTCCCAAGCCAGTTGCACCAGCCTCTACCAGCCTCTGATCATCCCATTTTAAAGCTAAGAAAAGTGAGAGCCAGAGAAGGAAGGAGGCTGGGGAGCCCCCAGGCCAGCGATTCGCCCAGGGCCCCGTTGGTCTTGGCAAGGGTGACATACTCCTTCTACGGTTATTTATTTGCTCTCTTCAAAGTCAACAGGGTCTGATAGGCTGGAGAAGTGAGCACCAAAGAACTCGCTAGAACAATAATCTAGAGACACCGTTTCTTGTCAGGCATGATGGAGGCCTTCTGCAGGTTGCTGCTGGGGCCCAGCTGCTTACTCTTGGGTGTCATATTTTAAATGACACCTTAAGCTATCCTTTATTTTGTGAACATTGACTAATTTATTGACGTAGCCAAGAATCTTCTAGAATAGGCTAAGTGTGATGGGATCTCGCACCCTCTGGGTACTGGTGCCGGAGCCCCTAGGAACTGGTGTGAGCCCTGAGCTCACCCCAGCCCTCCCTGGGTTCTCGGCACTCGGGTCCTCACTCGAAGGCACTCTGAGAGTGTTGCTGTCTCCAGCCTTAGCTGTCCTAGCTTGAGCTGGGCCTCTGTAGAGACTTTTCAGAGGTGACACAGGTCAGGTGGTGTCTTCCCTAGGAAGCGCTCAGGAAGGTGTTGGTCTCCCACCATTGAGCAACTTGGTACAGAGCAAAAGCAGCTGGCACGCATTAGGCGCTTACTACATACCGGGCTAGTTCTAAGACACCGACGTACACTGACTCCTTCAAATTCACCGTGTTGCGTTATCGCATCCCCTTTTTAGACAGAGGTAAGCAAACCAAAGTTCAGAGAGGTTAAGTGACTGGCGGCCGGTCACACATTTGTCACTGTGAAGGGAGATGCCCCAGTAGCAGCAAGCAAGCGGTTAGAACTCAAAATCTAGAATTCCTTTAGAAGTGGGGAAGAGTCGGAGCGTCCAGAAAGGCAAGGAAAGGAGTTCTTAGTGGGAGGCAGGCTCAAGCGGGGAGGGTCTCGGCCCGGGGCCACCGTACCTTGGGCGGCAGGGCGAAGAGCACCGGCAGCAGAGCCAGCGGCACCAGCACCAGCACCAGCAGGCGCCGTGCGCTCCACACCTTCTTGGCCAGCGCCGCCAGCGCCGCCATCCGCGCGATCGCCGGAGACCGGGCGGCCCGACTGCCCCTCAGCGGCGGGCAGGGACCTAAAACCCCGAGGGGCGGGGAGGAGCCACACGGAACCGCCCCGGCCGCGCCTCCTGGGCGGCAAAGAGTCGGGGGACAAGGAGCAGGGAAGGGGCCCCAGAGCCCCCACCCCGCAGACCCGCCCCACGCTAGGCGCTCTGAACTCAGGTGGGAAATGGGGCGAAGACCAGGTGGGGCTGAAGGCCTCAGCACTGTCACCCCAGTTCAGACCCTACGGGACAGACCACGCTGCTGTGACCCACAAATGGCCTCGAGTGACCGGGCTTGCAGCCTCTTCCAGACTTGGAGGTCGGTGGGGAGTTTAAATGAGATAGTGCTTCGTGCAAAGGGCACAGTCACCTGTGGGTGGGAGTCTTCCCTTTGCAGTGGCAGCTGCTCCAGACTGATGGTTGTGTGATTTTGAGACAGGCTCTCATTTAGCCCAGGCTGGCCTCTATCTCCCTATGTGGCTGAGGATGACCTTTAACTCCCATCCTCCTGCCTCCACTTTCTGAGTGTTGGCATTATGGAAGCTTGCCAACACCGCGGGTTACGCATTGAGTGTAGTGTAGTTATCCGTCAGAGCCCCAGAAGGGCAGCTGCTGGGTCAGCTTAAGATCCAGCCTCTACTATTTTAAGAAAATGGGGAATCTTTCCTCCAACTCTGCACTTTACATCCCGCCAGCAGCTCCTGGGGCCGCTTCTAGGGGAATGCTGTGTGTGCAGCTTCAGATCATTGGGACTCTACCGGTTCCCGAGGTGCCGGGAAGGGACCAGGGCCTTGCACATGCAATGCAAAAGGCGTGAGGCCTGACTCTGCGCTCTTCACTGAGCAGGTCCCCACACCTCCTTAGTAGTGTGACATGTTTCCCCAGTGGCTACTGTCGCTGGGTGCCTTGTCCTCAATGCTGGGCTCTGGGCTTCTGTCGAGAAAGGGCCTTGTTGGGAAGTTTCTTGCTTTTTGTCATTTTTGTGGGTTTTTTTGGGGGGGGGGTATTGAACAGCATTGAATATACAGTTTATAGTCTATAGGCATCATCATTACCAGTTCCTGTAAAATATGAAAACCTTATTCATTTCCTCTATTTCCAACACTGCCACTGCTCTGCATGTGTTAAGAATCAGGCCAGAGCTGTGATCTTGGTCTCAGCTTCAGACTTAGAAAACCCAAGATCGTATTAACATGGCTGACTTCGACATAGCCACATTAGTTTAACATTCTCTCAGACAAGGTAGAAGGTGACAAGGAACACCAGTGCTGACTTCTGATGGCACACATGCTGGGGTTCACCCATGCCCACACTCTCACACACCTATGCACATATGCAGAGCTTAAAAATACGTAAGATAACTCAGCAGGTAAAGGCATTGCCAAACAGTGGTTTAATAGAAGGAGAACAATGACTCCCGCAAGTTGCCCTCTGAGCTTCCACACAAGTGGTAGTACCTCTCTCTCTCTCTCTCTCTCTCTCTCTCTCTCTCTCTCTCTCTCTCTCTCTCCTCTCTCCCCTCTCTCTAGTAATAAAATAATAAAAAATACACAAGAGAGAGAAATGGGAAGGGAGGGCCTTGTGCTCCTATCTCCCATGGTTCCAGTAACAACTTAGCCAGTTTTTAATCCCCGTCCCCTGCTGATGGTGTCCTTCTTAACTCTGACTGTCTGGGAAGATCTCTCGGTGTCGTGGCCTTGGTTTGAGTTTGGTCCAGGGTTCCTTTGTGTCTGTTTCTTCGGAGTCCACTGAGGTTCTGGGACCTGTGGAGACATGTCTTCTCCAGCTGTGACATGGACCCAGGCATTCTCCCCTCAAATGTTTCCTTCTTCCCACGCCTTCTTTTGTCTTGTTAACCCTTAGAGTACTTGGTGTCCGCGTGCGAATTTCAGATTCTTCCACATTTTCATGCCTTTTTCCCTCTGCGTGCTCCAGTCTGGGGACCCTAAATATCCTGTCTTTGGTTTTCCTGACTTGTCCTTCATTGTATCCATGTGTGCAGGGCTCAGTCCTTGTACACAGGGTCGTGCATTTGATCCTGGCACCTTCATCTTCACTAGCTTGTCGCAGTTTCTCCTCAAGGGAACTGCCCCCTTTATTTATGAATGTTATTCTTTAAAAAAGAATCCATTTTCTTTGTTCAAGTTTTAAGTCCCAGATTTTAAAGACCCAAGCCAACCTTAGATCTTTTGATTCTGTTGACATTCACATTTTTTTAAACATTTAATTTTATTCCTGGGCCTGTGTAAGTGTCCGCCACCTGAGTGTCCACGGAGGCCAGAAGAGGGCATCTGATTCCCTGGAACAGTAGTTTGGTCATGAGTCGTCTGACGTGTGTGCTGAGGCCTGAACTCTGATCCTCCGACAGAGCAGCGAGCACTATCGCTAACAGAGCGAGCTCTCCCGTAGTCCCACGGTCACATTCTGTTTGTTAATCTTCAAACGCACTGTGGACACTCTGTGTGAAGAGTCAGCAGAGAAAGGCGTTCATCCCGTTTCCATTTAGAAGGGGAGCTTGGTCTTCACAGGCCCCAGCTGAGCCAGCCCTCAGCCTCTGTGTAGCCCCAATTGCCTCTGGCTTCAAATGCTCCAAGGAAGGAGTTGGACTCTTCCTGCAGCAGGATGGAACCTGAGCCCAGGGGAAGCCAGGGCTCTGCCTTGGCTCCCAGCATCTGTATTAGGGATGGCAGGAGGTGTCTCCCTCCTCTAAGACTGAGTTGCCATACATTTGTTTTGTTTTTGGTTTGTTTGTTTGTTTTGGTTTTGCAAGACAGGGTTTCTCTGTGTAGTCTTGGCTGTCTTGGAACTCACTCTGTAGACCAGACTGGCCTAAAACTCAGAGATCTGCCTGCCTCTGCCTCCTGAGTGCTGGGATTAAAGGCGTGTGCTACCACTACCCAGAAGCCATAGGTTTTTATGGCTGTTGGGGGGTCGCCTGTTCCCACCAAGGCCACCTCACATCCTGGCACTGGAAGAATCTTCTAGTAAGTATTACTGTCATTTATCCGATGGTGGCAGGGTGTGACCCGTGCATTTTTGAAGGCCTGAAACACCGTGCATGGCCGTTTCTGGGATACCCCACACTTCACTCAGTTGCTGGTAGCCGCAGTTGGTGGGAGCAAGAACACCTCTTAGTTCCTCGGTCCCAGTCTTCATGTGTTGTAGGCGATGTTCAATCATACTGTGAACCCCAAGTTCACATTTGTATTAATTAAACAAATTAACGTGGAGGCTGCATTAGCAACTAGTTGACAGAAAGTAATCATCGAGCCTCAGAGGACATCCAGGAGAGACAGAGAGACACAGGAAGAAGTAGGGTGATGCTTGGAGGGACATCTGGCTTTTTCTGGCTTGGCGAAGCCGAAGCAGGGGTCTTTCAGAGATGCCAGCAAAGAAAGGCTAGCTAACTGTGACAGGGTCTCTCTGAGTTAGCAGGTGTTTACCCCAGCCTTTGAATCTTGAGAGTCTTATTTATAAACAGAAGGATACGTTTAGTTTAAGACACCTTTAGTGGCAGCAACAGAGTTGGTGCCTGCGGGAACAGGATTCCCACCAGGCTGCACCGGGGTAACTGGTACAGCCTGGTAACTGCGGAGTTGCTATTACAGGCTGAAACAGTGGTAGATTAAGGCGCAGCCACTGTGCCGAAGTTAAAACAAGGTGGATGTGGACCACTTCGGCCTCGCAGTCTGTTCTCTGGTCTCCTGTAGTATCTTGCTTTTGAAGGAAGCCCCTTTCCCCCCGGTGATCCTCATTCACCCCAACCCTTCCCTTTGGTGTCTTGTCATTGTGCATGGTGAACCCCACAATATCGGGCAGTAGAACCCCTTTGTCTGTGCCAGTCTGACTGTGGAGCACATGGCTGGCTCCTTGGCTGCCTAAGACGAGGTTCCTGCTCTTGGGCAGCTGATCTGGAACAAGAGTAGCCAGGGCTTTTCTCTGTAATGAGAAATGATCTTGCCATTTCTGCTAACATGCAATTCCTTAGGTGGCTGGCTCAGTGGATAAAGCATTTGCTATGCAAACTTGCGGACCAGAATTCAGATCTCCAGAACCCATGTAAATACCAGATGGGCATGATGACTCAGAAGGGGGAGATAGGGGTACCCAGCGTAAGACTGACCGTATGGGTGAACTCGGGTCAAGTGAGAGACTCTGCCTCGGTGAACAAGGTGGAGAGTGGCGGGGAAGCCTCTCAGTGTCAAAGTCAAGCCTCCACACACATGCACACAAATACGTGCACATATACCCATACATATGCTTTTATACGTGTTAACATGCATATACACACACACATAGACATGTGCAAAATACTACTTCCGTTAGGCTTCTTCATGTCCTCGGCTCTGTTTCCACTGGTTCTTTTGCAGCCTAGAAGGCCTCTTTCTTGGTGGGGTGGGGAGGGTGGAGTGGAAGCAGACTCACTCTCCCAATTGTGAGCCTTAGCTTTCAAGGGCTAAGCTGTCTCTCCAGATCCTGCGTGCTCTCTTGTTAACGTCCTGGACCAACCAGAAGTGCAGCACTTTCGATATGGCTGCGTAGACTATAGGGACTTCAGAGCATCTCATATGGCGGCCAGGTGTGGAGGTGCGTGCTTAGAGCCCCAGAATTTGTGAGGCTGATGGAGAGGATGGAAGTTCAAGGCCAGCCTGGTCTACCTAAGAAGCCCTGTCTCAGGAGTGAAAAAGGAGGGTATCCTGTTGCTTGAGCTTGAATGACATGGGAGTATGGGGCTAGGCCCGACCTGGTGGTGTGGGGTCTGTGGGTCTGGTGTGGTGTGGTGTGGTGTGTGTGTGTGTGTATTGTATGTATATGTTCATGGGGGTAGTTGCAGGTAGGTGCCTGAGCATGCATTTATATGTAGAGACCAGAGGTTGGCATTGGTGTCTTCCTCAATTGCTTTCAGCCTGCAGTTCATCAATTGGGTTGCTGCTGGTGAGTTTGAGAGATTCACCTCGGCCTTTGCCTTGCTGGGGCTGGATTCAAACTCAGGTCCTTTGTGTTTTCATAGCAAGCACCTTACCAACCAAGCCATCTCCCCAACCCACCATGAGAGTATATATATAAAATCTGGGAGGGGATAAATTAAAGCCTAGCGCAGTTCTAATAAGAAATAAAGCTTCTTATTGTGTGCACACATGCCTGCACTCCCAGCACTTGGGAGGTGGAAGCAGGAGAATCAGGAGTTCAAGACCAACCTCAGTTACAGGGTAAGCTTGAGGCTAGGTTGGGCTATAGGACATCCCACCACCACCAAAGAGAAAAGCGAGAAAGAAAAAGTAAAATGAAGAAAGTGGATTTTATGAACTTGACTCCTTTGGCCATGGTGTCGGGGTGCTTGTGAGTTATGTCACAAGGGGACTTCTGTGTATTTACTTGACCCATAGAAGAGTTAGCTTTGTGGAAACATGTAACTATAGTTCAGGCTCTGGAGGGAATTGTCAGTCAGCTTTAACTGTCGATACAGCTTAGAGTCACCTAAGAAAGGAATTTCAACAGAGGGATTTCCCAGATATAACTGGCCTGTGGGTGTATCTGTGAGGGACTGCCTGTCTTCATTAGTAATTGATGGAGGAGGGCCCGGTTCTCTTTAGGCAGCACCATCCCCTAGGCAGGTGGTCCTGGGATGCATAAGAAAGCCAGCTGAGCATGAGCCAGAGAGCAAATGAGCCAATGAGCAGCATTCTTCTGTGGTTTCTGCTTCACGTGCCTTCCTGCAGTGATGGACTGTGACGTGGGAGTGTGAGATGAAGTAAACTCTTCTCTCCCCTCAGTTGTTTTTGGTCAGAGTGATTCAAAGCAACAAAGGTGACTCGGGCAGAGATCAAATGATGCTTCTGATTTGTGTGATGTCCAAGGTGTTGATTTCAATTCTTCTTATTCATGAATACCAAGGACCATCACTCCCTGGGTGCTTATGTGGAGTCTGGCTCAATCCCAAGGGCTTTCTTCTGTGGAATAATCCTTTTGTACATTGTGAAAATGTGTTGCTCCCATTGGTTTAATAAAGAGCTTAACTGACCAATAGCTAGGCAGGGAAGACGTTAGGCAGGAGAGCCAGACTGAGATAATGCTGGGAATAAGAAGGGTTGAGTTGCCACGAGATCCGAGGAGAAACAAGGTAAACATGCAGTGCTGAGAAAATGTACTGAACCACCCTGTAGAATGAAAATAAGAAATAAGGGTTAAATAGTAAGAGCTAGTTAGTAATAAGCCTAAGCTATTGGCTGAGCATTTATAATTATTACTAAGTCTCTGCGTGTTTATTTGGGAGCTGGCTGGTGGGATAGAAACTTCTGCCAACAGCTTTCCATGGATCAGGCCATTGAAACTGATCCTCAGATGCCTCATTTTACAGAGGGGGAGACCGATACAAAGAGCTTACAGAACATATTCAAGAACACAAAATGGGGATTCAAAGCACAGTAGTGTAGCCTGAATTCACATGCCCAGCCCTGTACAGCCATGACCCAGTGTGGCTCACAGGCTCATGATGTCCCCATGTCATGTCAACCACCCATCATGGTTCCAGAACCACAGACACCAAGGGACAGTTATGTGTGTGTTTCTTAGGTGTGAGGTCACTGATGTCAGTGATAGCATGGGACAGGGCCGTTGCAGCCAGTGCGTGTCTCCACACCCCAGGTTTTGGCAGGTACTGTAAACTTCAATAGTTTGTATGTGCTCACCCTCCAAGCTGATCCCCCACCTCAGCACCCTTGAAAAAACGTCGAAACACTGTGATCCCCAACTTTGCTTGCATGTGGGAACTCCTGGGAGATTTAGAGATGCTCGCACCCCTCCCCCACCCCCCAATGAAGTTCCACACTGTGAACAGTCATTCCCCAGCCTCTGGAAACTGGGAGCCTGCTTCCCATCTCTAGAGCTCTGCCTGTACAGCTAGCGTCCCCACTCAACTAGTGTTCCCCACTCAACATACTCTCCATGTGTATCCCCGTCTTAGCACACACTTTGCTCCTCTTCATGGCTAAATGATAGTTCACCGGTGATGTAACACTAATTCATCAGTTGGCAGACATTAGGATGATCTGCATTTTTGGCTGATCAGAATGGTGCTGCTTTGAGCATCATGTACCCAAGTGTGGGGGGGGTTGTACACATGTGCATGTGGGTGTGTGCACGTGTGTGGAGGGCAGAGGTTGACACTGAGTATCGGTAACTTGCTCAATTACTCTTTAGTTTTTGTGATCGATGTCTCACTGGGACCCAAGGCTCACCAATTAGGCCAGGCTGACTGGCACAAAGATCCTCCTGTTTGCCTCCCCAGCACCAGGATTGCAGGGCTTTTTATGTGGGCGCCTGGGAGCAAATTCATTCTTCCAATTTACATTGGCATTGACTTTACTGACAGATCTGCAGATCAGGTTGGTCTTGAACTTATGGCAATCCTCCTGCCTCAGGCTCTTGAGAACTGGAATGGCAGACTTGGATTGGGGCTGTAGAATTTGGTCTCTTGCCAGAATCGCATGACACTGTGGTACGTTCTTTCATTCTTTGTATGTTTCTCTGTGTAACCCTGGTTGTCCTGTAACTCATTCTGTAGACCAGGCTGGTCTCGAACTCAGAGATACCCCTGTCTCTGCCTCCTCAGTGCTGGGATTGAAAGCTGTGCCACCACTGTCTGGTGATGTTCATTCCTTCTTACAGCTACCTTTGACTTTGGGCAAGTGAATTTTCAAAAATTTATTTCACCTGTGACTTTTCAAAGCCCTCTTTAAAATAAAATCTACTTAAGTCTACAATGCCAAGTGATCTGAAGGAAGAGACTAAGGACCCGGGGGCACAGACAGCACAGTCCCAGTGACTGGGAACTCACAGGCCTGGGAAGCCTTGAGTGGGTAGGACTCCGGATGAGAAGCCCCAGGCTCACCCTCAACCCTGTCAAGCTATGGCATTCCTGTAAATCCCAGGACAAGGGACTTCCCAGTGGACCTGTCCCAGGCTGTGATGAAACCTCCTCCCATGACCCCAGTCAGCCCAGCTCGGCATCATCAAAGGGAGCAGACAACCTCTCGTGGGGAGGCCAGGCCTGCAAAAGGCACTTTGGATCTTTCGGGCCGAGGCAGGTGGGTGGATACAAACTGACCCACTCCCTAAGGTCCAAGTGCACGTAGCTGGGACCAGGGAGTATCAGAAGGAGCCATGGTGGGCTCCCCTGCTCCAGACCAAGCTGAAAGCATAGAATGGGGTGCCTGGCCTTAGAACAGAAGGGGCTGTCCTGTGGCTCAGATGTAGCAACAATAACTGCGTCGTGGTGAGCACAGGAGCCTATTTCCAGATCTAGCCGGCAGCTGAGGGACACCCAGGGCCAGCGGGCAGCCAATGGATAGCCAGGGCCAGCCTGCAGATGAGGGACATTGGGAGACAGCCTGTGGCAGAGGAAGAACTCTTGCCTCCTATTTCTTCCCAGTTAGGGCGCTCAGGAGGCAGGTCAGGCCCTCCCAGCTCTGGCCCTGCTGGTCCTGCCTGGCTCATGGCTTCAATTGCTCTCCTCACAGAGCAAGAGAGTGGAGCTCAGAGATGCCAGTTGTGACTCAGGCCTGTGTTGCTCACCCTTGGCCACGCTGTCCCCAGGCCTCTTGAGCCAGATTGGGGGGGGGGGCTATGACACCCAAAGCAAACTAGAAGATCTGACTCCAGGCATCTGTTGTGCTACCACGCTGGTAATGTCAGAGAGAGGAAGGCTTTGGGATCCCTGACGGGATTCTGACTGCCATCATGGAACTGGGTTCCAGAGTGTTGAAGAACTTTGTGCGGGAAGATGACGTCAAGGTAGGAGGGCAGCACCTGGAGAACTGAGGCAGGAGAATCGTAATGGTGAGGCTAGTTTGGGCTACACAGCGAGACCCTGCCTCAAAAAGAAAGAGGAGTAGGGAAAGAAAGAAGGAAGAGACCAACATGGGACTGTGTAGCAAGTCAACAGTGCTTAATGCTTGAAACCAAGCAGGAAGGAGGGAGGGGACCTTGGCAGCCACTCCAGCTTTCGTTCCCAGGACTGCTCCTCCCTGCTTCTCCCTGTGCCACTGTCAGCATCTCCCAGTGTGACACTGCTTAGAGGCTCCAAGAGCAATATTGGCTTTGAGGCAGGTCCCAGCAGAGCCCTCAGGTGGGGGCTGGGATTAGCAGCCCCCCTCGTGGCTTGGGGGCCCAGTGGCTCATCCTTGGGGGTTTTCCTTCCTATGGAGAGGGCTGTACTCTGGCTCCTGGTAGAGGAGGAGGCTACATACAAGTGGCTTTGATCGCATCAGACCCCAGCATTCTCATTGTTTTTTGTTCCAAACCCCAGGCCAGGATTACATTCAGCCTTGCCTCCAGCAGAGAAGTCAGTGGGTAGGCGGGGCTTGTATATGTGCGCACGCGCTCTCTCTCTCTCTCTCTCTCTCTCTCTCTGTCTGTATTGTGTGTGGTGTTTGTTTATATGTACATGTATGTGATGTATTTTCAAGTATGTGTGCAGTATACGCGTGATGTGTACTTATGTGTATATATGCATGTGTATATATGTATTTGTATGTATGTGTAACTATGTGTATGTATATGTTAACATATGCGAATGTGTATTATTATATGCATGCGTGTATGTGTATTATAAGTAAATACGTTTATATAGACATACAAATGTGTATGTATGTGTGGGTATATACGTATGTGGATGGTGTGTGTGGATGTGTGAGAGGAAGGCTCACATCACCAATCTTTGACACTCCAATAAGCAGCAGTAGATCCTGTTCACTTTCTCTGATGGCCATCTGGCTGTGGGTGTTGCTGGTCCCCCTCCTGGCTCACCTCCCCCAGCCCTTTCCTGTTCCCTCCTGCTCAGGGTGACTCAGAGACAAGCACCACACACAGGCCCAGCTGCTGGTCCTCTCTCCAGAAAGCACTAGGGCTCAGAGGTACAGGAGGGGGTCCAGGCCTGCAGCTACAAGCAAGGAGACACGGATGGGCAGCCCACAAACTTCCTATCATTGGGGCAGCGTAGCTGGATTGAAAGGGTCCAGCAAGATAGTTCAGCAGGCAAATGCACCTGCTGCCAAGCCTGAAAACCCGAGTTCAATTGGCCAGGACAGACATGGCGGAAGCGGGGCTCTCACGTGTCCTGACCTCCGCATGCAGTGGTGCAGCACACCCCGCCCCCAATGTAAATTGTTAAGTTTTTCAAAAAGTGTTCATCTCCCTGCTGAGTGTGAAGGGACGCAGGGCCAGGCAGGAGCAGGAGGCCCCTTGAGGAAGTCCTGGTGTTCAGCAAGGACCAGGAACCTCAGGGCCATCAGTGGGACTTCCCCATCACTGGGGCTGCCCCACAGTCCAGCCAAAGTGCTCACCCGACACCTAGGTGAGGATCACGTGAAGAAGAGGATGGAAGAGAAATTGGGGCAGGAAGAGTCACTGAAGTGGCTGCCAGTGCGGATGACCAGAAGAGGTGTCTGCTCAGCTGAGACCTGAGGTGAGCTGATGGGCAGGTTCACGAGAGGGGAGGGAACAATGGCAAGCAGAGGGTGGGGGAATGAGGAGGGTGTTAGGAGGACGGTGGGGAGAGAGGGCGAGGGAAACTTTTCTTCATCTCTGCCTGCTGAACCAGGCATGAGTGACGACAGCATGCGACCTCTGGTGGCACAAGACAGAAACTGCCCTGAATCAGAAGGCAGATGAGTTTACTTGCCCAAATTGCTGGTGAGGGGCTGCTAGTCAGGGCTGGGTGAGCAGCAGCGCCCTGAGTAGGAAGGCAGTGAGGTGCTTGCCTGGGTGCAAGTTGAAGTGCTGAAAGTTCAATAGCCAAGGCAGACAATTTAAGTTTTAAAATCATGTTGGGAGCCCAGGGTGGTGGTGCATACCTTTAATCCCAGCACTTGAGAGGCAGAAGCTGGTGGATCTCTGAGTTTGAAGCCAGCCTGATCTACAGAATGAGCTCCAGGACAGCCAGGACTACATAGAAGAACTTTCTCAAAACAAAACAAATTGATACAGCATGGCTTATGGCAGCTCATCGCATTCACCAGCAGACTCTTCAGGAGGCGCCCACCATGCCAAGTTTTACAACACGGACCCAAGGACTGGTTCCATAAGCAGTTACTTAGAGGAGTGTTGACCAGGGTCCTCAGGGTTGGACATGTGCTGGTGTCCTGCTGGACTTCCCCAGCCCAGACACTCAGTGACTTTAAGCCCGTCTTTCTTGGGAGCCTGCTGCCTCGGGCAAGACGCTTATCTCACAGAAACAGAAACAAAAACAAAAATAAAACAAAAACCAAACCCTAAACAGTCAAAGAATGTTGGTGAGAATGCCTCTTGCTTCCTGTGCTGGGCTAGCAACCTCTGTCCAGCCCACCACCCATCTACAGTGACACAGCATCCTGAGAGCTGACTACGAAAACCCCTCGCACAGAACATGCCATGCAGTGAGCGAAGCTTCACTGGCAACAGCTACCCAGGAAGGGCCATGTGCATTCTCTCCTGGCCGGCTGTCCCTCACATGCTGTACTCAGGCAGAAGCAGCAGTTGTGAACGGAATTCAGTCCCTGTCCGGTGAGGACTCAAGTCTTCAGACTGGAAACCCAGCTTACCAACTTCACAAGGCACTTCATCTTTGTTCTGCCTCCCCACCGCTTGAGACACACCAACTCCCTTCTCTACCCCATGAGCTTCAAGACCTATGGACACTGGGACGGTAAAAACCTACCTGCTGCTGTGTTCTAGTCATCTGAAAGCCGTAAGCCTGCTTTTCTAGAAAAGAGAAACTCGGAATGCTATTTCTCCATCTTTTTATTGTGACTCTCAAAAATATTTCAAGAATTTATCCATACTATATTTAATTATGGGAAGAGGGGCATATGCATGTAAGCAGAGGTACCTGAGGAGGCAGAGCCAATGGGTCCCTTGAAGCCTGAGTCCTGGACTAGAATCCTTTGGAAGAGCGAGCACCACAAGGCCACCTCTCCAGCCCCTCAAAAACACCTTTTATAATAAATTCCAAATACACCCATGTAAAAATACGCACCTAAAACACTTCGGAAAGCAGTCCACTGTATCCCAGTCAGTCTATTGTGCTCTCTCAAAGTGATAGTTATATCCCACTAAACTGGCTTGAAGCAGTCTTCGTACACACGCCCCAAATCCCAGCAGGTCAGAGGGAAGAGAGAGAAACACTATCCCTGCCTTTCTCTCTCCAGGACTATAGTACTGTTCTCACATCAATGCCACCGGGAATGCATGAGGTCCACAAGCCACTGTTTGGGAGGAAGCCTATTTGATTTGATCTGAAACACTCAGGGCTAGGGGTGGGGATGCAGCTCAGGAGTTCAAGGTTTTATCCTCATCACACACAGCAAGCGCGATGCCAGCCTGAGTCACACACCCAGTTCTGCCTAGACCAGGCCTTGTGCACATTAAGCTCCTGAGAACAGTGAACCGCAGGTGTCAGTGGCACAGCACCATCGCAGGCCACTTACCAACGACCCCACTGCCTAGGCCCAGCTGCACCCACAGCATTCTCACCGGGAGACAGTTACTATGGCAACTCTGCTACCCGACCATGGACCGCTTTCTCCCTCTCAGGCGCACTTCATCTAACTTCTTCAGTACTGGCCCGGACTTTTTGGATGAAGTACCATAGCTCTTGAGAAAGGCTTCAAACACCGTCTCGGTGTGGGGGTGGGTGCTGAGGAAGGCCTTCTCCAGGACATAAAGGTCGACGCCTTTATCTTCCGGCAGTCCCGAAACAAAACTCAGCCCGAAGTCGATGAGCACGATGTGCAGCTGCTCCAGGGGCCGCCTCAGGAGCATGTTGGAGGTGGTGAGGTCCCCTTGAATCAGGTCTTCATCATGCATTCTAGCCAGAACCTGCCCGATTCTCCTGGCCAAGCCCAGGAGGCACTGGGGGTCTTTTTCAGTCTCCATAGTAGATTGGATATAATCTCGAACAGTCACCGAGTCTTCGATTTCTTCCATATATAAGCAGTTAGAAGCATAGTCCACGAAGAAGACAACCGGAGCAGCTATACCTGCAGTGGACACACAGGTGCTAGTGAGTGCGTTCTGTATGAAGGAGGCGCCACCTGCACAGGTAGGGCCAGCTTTTCAGTCTAAATCTACTTACTCTGGAGCAGGGTTGAGGAATACGGTAGGAATGATAGAACTTACCCAGAAGCCTGCCCAAGCCCTGCCCAAGCCCTGCCCAAGCCCTACTCAGGTCCCTCAGGACTATGGCCCAGCCCAGGGTGCGTCTGCAAGTGTCAAAGCTTGCTCCTCTTTCTCAAGTCACCTTAGGACTGGAATTCATTGCTACTCCCTCAAAAAAAACAAAGGAAACAGAATCCAGAAGGGAAAGCATCCTCCAGTCTGAGGGCTACCTGACTAGCAGGAGGCTAAGCAGCATGTCATCTTATAGACCCATCTTTTTCCCAGGACAGGCAGGTTCAAATCCCGGTTCCCTCCTTATTAGTGGTGAAACCTCAAGGTTTCATTAGCTTCTCTATATCTCGGTCTCCGATACTGTAATGCAGTAACAATAGCTCCAATTAACTCCAGGACTCTCCTGAATGCCAACCTCGTCCTCGTCAGGGACACTTTCCTAGAAACTGGAGACATGTCAATAAAGATGAAGGTAGCAACCATCCTTGTCTGATAACTTATAAAAGAGGGTGAAACAAAAAATATGAACACTACTTTAGAGCTCCATTAAGTCTGCTAGGACAAGAAAATACCGGCCTGTTCACTGTTGAATTTTCCCAGGTGGCCCGGACCTATTAGTGCCCTTGTGCCGAATAAATGCCTATATATCTATAAGTGTAAAAGCAAAAAAGGTCAGTGCTTAGGAGCCACAGACAGCCCGCGTGGTGGCTGTGGAAACTCGGGCAGTTTCTCTTTGTGCCTCAGTTTCTCTGGAGGACAGTTCTGTTGGTGGGAGTGTAAATGGTACTTTTAAAGAAGAAAAAGGAATCATTTCATGAAATCAGACGTTTACTGAATGCTTTGTGAGCATTCAAACATATGACACATAGACCTTCTCTAATGATCACAACATCCCTGAGATTCCCATTACACGCAAGGAAACTGAGGAGCGCGGTGCTAAACGACTCGCTGAAGGGCCATGCGGGAAGCAGCGCTTAAGAGTCTGAATCGGCGAGCCTGGCTTCTGGCTTCGGACACGCGCCTGGTAAGGCACCTGCTGCTTAAAACTACCAAATGGAGGGGGGAGGACAGTGAGCAGAAACAGCAGAAACGGGGAAACTGAGGCTAAAAGACACAATGAGGGACAGTTGCCGAGCAACAAACCAAACGGAAACGCGTCCCGTGCGACGCCGGGACTCCTTAAACACTTCTCTGGTCCCGTCTCCCGGGTCTCGGAGCCCTATGAAGTCCCGTCCCGTCCCGTCCCGTCCGCCCCATCTCCCGGGCCTCGGAGCCCCGTCCACCCCCGTCCCGTCTGCTTTACCCGCGCGGCGGCAGCGGAGCAGCGCCCGCGCTTCCTGCACCGTCCTCCGCCGGCCGAGCCGCGCCTCCAGCGCCGGGTGCCGGTAGCTCTTGGGGAAGCGATGCTTCACCACGGCCGCGCGGCCCTGAAAGCGGCCGCGGAAGACGCGCGCTTCGGCGCCCTGCTGCACCAGCTCCAGGCCGCTCAGGAAGAGCCGGCTCCGCTCCCGTGCCGCGGCCAGCGCCTCGGCTTCCGCCTCCTGCTCCGAGGACGTCTCCGCCATGCCTCGGGCTCGTCCGACTCCGGCAGCGCCGCTTCCGCTCACCACGGAAATCCTCGGGCCTCTTCCGCCACACGACACTGCCTCCGCCCCACTTCCGCCCTGCCGGAGTGCTGCCGCCTAGCGACCTTTCGGAGCTCTGGCTTTCCGGACGCGTTCCTTGGCCCTTTTTTAGCTCTTTAAACCAGAATCAAACGTTCAATGGCTCGTCACTGTGCTGAGGATAAAGTACCTACACCTTAATTCAGCCCATGAGGCCCTGCAGGGAGCTCCTGCATCTCTTAGAGACTCACCCCCACTCCCACACACCTCCAACACCCCACCCCTCCCATCCTGCTCCCTCTGCACAGTCTTTGCTTCTGCTGCTTCCCCTGGGGGAAATGTTCTTCCCGCCCCTCATCACCTAGACCCCTGTAGACATCCTTTTCCCGCAACCCAGGGTCACTTTCCAGACAAGGCCTTCTGGTCTCTCTGAAGAGAGGGACACCAACTCTCGTCCGCCCTTGTTTTCTAGGTGCCGACCCTGTCCCTCGGACTCCCTTTGTTTATGGCCATGAGACTGCTTGATTGAAGCCTACCTCCCCCTAGGGAGCTAGCAGTCAGGCAGAGGATTGTGTGGTTCCTACCCTTCCCCCAGCGCCAGAGAATGGGTACCCACCTACAGAGTCTTTGGGATAGAGAAACAAATAGAATGGGTGCATACCTGTGTTCCCAGCGCTCAGAGGCTGAGGCAGGAGGCTGCAAGTAAGACTTGAAGGGTACTTAAATTCAAATTTTGACCTTTTAAGAATATCTTAGGGGGGGCTGGAGAGATGGCTCAGAGGTTAAGAGCACTGACTGCTCTTCCAGAGGACCCAGGTTCAATTCCCAGCACCCACATGGAAGCTCACAACTGCCCATATTTCCAGTTCCAGGGACCAGACACCCATGACAAAACACCAATACACATAAAAAAATAAAAGTATTTTATCACTTTTTTTGAGAATTTTATACAATGTATTTTGGTGACTTTTTTTTTTTTTTTAAATTGCCGAATGGTGAAGTGGAGTTGATGGTTTCTTGTCTGTCTGGGTGCTGAAAGGGCAGTTTAGAGATACGGGTGCAGACCTTAAAGATGCCGAAGGAGAAAATGAGTTGACTGGAGAGATGGGACACAGGCTAGGCCACAGCTGGTCCCTGTGACTTTACAGGAGCACAGGAGGCTGGAGATTAAGGGTGGTGGTAGGGACCCTCTTCATTTGGTTTCTCGGAGCAGATAGTAGTACAGTGCAGGTTTGAGTGGAAAGTCAACTATGCAGGCTTCATCCCAAGAAACATCAGAGAAGAGTGATAGGAACGGGAGGCTGCCAATCCGAAGTGGGTTGGCCAGCTACATGCCACAAGGGCCAGCAAGTTCCTACTCAGAACAAGAGCCAGTGTGGAGAGCTAGTGTCTTCTACAGTGGGGAGGGTCCTAAGAAACGGAAATTTTATCCAGGAAGAGGGGTAGAAATGGACAGAATGTCTGCAGGAGAGAGCGACTCCCTCCAGGACAAGGCCGGCCATTAGCAGCTGTAGAGCTTACCCCACAGCTAGCTCTGTGCACACAGACATAGCGGGTGTTCCACTCTTTCTAGAATTCTACCACTGCAGAGAGAAGCAGAGACTTTAGCTCTCCCCAGCTCTTACCCAAACTGCAAACAAACCTCTTTCCATTCACTGATTCTTGCCTCCTAGACTTCTGACAAAGCCTGCAACAATGACCCTGAGACCCCTGGGTCACTGAAGCACTGCCTCCAACCAGCCATGGCTGAGGGTCACTCATCGTAGGATGACTTAGAAAGTGCCCCCGGTCGGCTCCAGCAGCAGAGCAGGGACAGAACATGGCAGGCACTATGCTCTGACCAGGGTATACTTGGAGGGGCGGGGAGCAGAGGCTTCCCTTTGGGTACAGTGCCATTCAGGGTGGGGATATTTTCATTACTCATGACTAGGATGGTAACAAGTAACAAACAAGCTTAAAGGAAATAGCCAGGCAGTGGTGATGCATGCCTTTAATCCCAGCGCTCGGGAGGCAGAGACAGGCAGATCTTTGCGAGTTTGAGGTCTACAGGGCTACACAGAGAAACCCTGATTGAAAAACAAAAAAAAAAAGAAAAAGGAAATATGTTTGAACTTGCATACAATATAATATATATATGATTCAACTCTGGTTTAGAATAAAAATGTAAAGTTATAAAGGTTTACTCAGAGTAACAATAGCTGACTTTGAGATTTACACCTAACTACTTATGTCTTTGCTAACTGATCAACACTAGGCTCCTAAAAAATTTATTCAATAAGGTCTATTTTATAAATAAGATTTATAAATTCCTAAGGTCTACTCAGGTTTATGGTATGATTAAAGGTTTTGTTTTGATACCAAAAGAACTTCAGTTCAAAGATTGTAACTATTAAGGCTCAAATTTAACAGAAGTAACTGCAAAAATCCTAATCTTATAAAAACTACTAAGTTATAAATTGTCAAGAAAAACTAAAACGTGCAAGTTAATGATCAGTCACCTTGTAGATGATCAGATTTGTTAGTATCTTCAGAACTATACTTGTAGTCGTGCTGAGAACTGATCTAATTATAGAAACAAACTTTATTTTGCCTCCTGTATGTGTTTTCAAAGTTAAGCCAAGTAACTAGAAACAAGCAGTTTGTTTAGTTTAGCTAATACTTAATAGATAGATGGTCCTCAAACTCTCCAGAGATCTGCTGAATAGAGACTTTAAAATTTTTAATGAAAAAGCTTCCTGTGATAGAGAGAAGCCCCAGGCCCTGGCAGCAGCCCAAAGAGCCTCCAAAGAAGCTGAGGGTACAGAAGAACTCATCTGGAGCTCGCTATAAACGTGACAAAGCTGGCCACTGGGTGACAAACTGCCCTTCACCTCCACCAGGACCCTGTCCAAACTGGACAAGCAAAACCCTGGGGGAGTTGATTGCCCCACTTTGCCTAGACAAGGTAAGCCAGTCCCCCAGATTCCTCCTCCACAGGAAAGTCCATCACATCTTCTGGGCCTGATGCTGCCTGGGACTTCTGCCCCTAGTGATCACAGAGGAACCTAGGATGATTGTCCAGGTAGCAGGTAAGTCTCTGCCATTTTTAATAGATTCAGGACCTGCTTGGTCTCTATTTCCTGTTTGCTCTGGTAAAATTCATCCTTCTTAGATCTCTGATGGCACTGATACTAGGCTAGTGATAACTTTATCTGTTTAACAGCAGCAACCAAGGCTTCAGCTGCCTTCTCAGTTCTCTTCATGTGTAAGAACCAGGCCTCAGGCATCACTATCCTCGAGCTACTGCAAGGTCTATATCCAGTTTACCTTGTTACCAAACTTTAAAAAGATATAAATTCACAAAACAGATTTCAGTGCAATTTAATAGTATTCATTTCTTTAAAGGAACTCGATTTACAACAACTGCTCTCAGTAATCAACCACCTGTGTCTCATGGTAAATGGCTGGCAGAAAGAAAATGTAGCCGGGCGGTGGGGGCGCACACCTTTAATCCCAGCAATTGGGAGGCAGAGGAAGGTGGGTCTCTGTGAGTTTGAGGTCAGCCTGGTCTACAAAATAAGTTCCAGGACAGCCGGGACTATTACACAGAGAAACCCTGCCTCAAAAAATCAAAGAAAGAGAGAGAGAGAGAGAGAGAGAGAGAGAGAGAGAAGAAAAGAAAGAGTAAAGGTTATGTAAGATTTGAGGATAAGAAAGCTTAACTTCTGAGGGTCTAAAAAATGTTTTATAAATTTATAAAGTTGTGAGAATGTTATTTAAGCTGAGTGGTGGTGGCACATACTTTTAATCCCAGTACTTAGGGAGGCAAAGACAATCTCTGTGAATTCAAGACCAGTCTGGTCTACAGAGTGAGTTCCAGGATAGTCACAGCTACACAGAGAAGCTGTCTCAAAAAAAAAAAAAAAAAAAACAAAAAACACACACTAAAACCCAACCCCTCCAAAAGAATATGATTTAAGATATATGTAAAAATTAAAATTTCAGACTTCTTTGCCTCTCTATGCTATTGTTAGACTAAGACTCTAAAAGTTCAGAGTTTTAGCATTAACCAGTGGAGTTCTGATAAGCTATTTATCTAGCTCTAGTAAGCAATGACTTTTACTACCGTAGTCACAAGCTTAAGATTTTAAATTTCCTTTTGTTGTCTTCTAACTGTAGACTTAGAAGTGCTTCTCACGATACTAAAAACATCTGTATAACCTGTATACACCAGTTTTCTGGATAGAGGAAAGTATGTATGTTTATGATTTTGACCCAAACCATTTTGGGTTCATAAACTTCTACTATGACTCAAAAGTGTGAGTCTACTGCCTTTCCTACAGTGTGGGTTTCAGGACAGATTACAAACAGTGCTGATACTAACATTCCTGAAACGTTTGCCTCTTTTTGTAAACTTAAAAAATTCTTGTAAGCTTCAAGAAATCAACTTGAATCCAACTCTCATGGGTCAAATGAACTCCAGGTAAGTAGTCAATCAATAGCCCATTTCCTCACCTGCCTATTCCGCTTATCCTGAGGGTGGGATCTCTTCGGGTTGCTTGGTCTTAGTACTCACATTCCCCAACTACCAGGACCATGGTCTAAAATTTTAAATATACACCTAAGAAAAAAATGTTCCCCTGAAATCATTAACTTTACCTTTTGTCCATACTATAGCCCTAACCATAACCATAACCACTAACCCTAACCCTAACCCTAACCCTTAAATCCTAACCCCAACCCTAACCAATAACCATAAACCCTAACCTCTAACCCTAACCCCTAACCCTAAGGTGGGTTATTATTCCAGCAACCCTCCAGTTCCGCGTGTTCCCTCAAAATCTATGTCCCCGATAGTTTCAAAGTGGCTAGCCCCAGGTGGTCTAGCCTCACAGATTCTGCTTGTACTTCCCTAGCCCTAGATGGTTCTACAGAGCCTGGACAGTGGGTGAAACAGCCTATTCTTCCAGAACTTGGCCAATGCCGTGGCCATGTCAGAGGAGCAGCAGGTAGCAATTGAAGTTCAAGGTGTGACCCACCAGGAGCA